CTACAGTATCCAGAGTCGTACGCAGTGACAGGAGGTAAAGTTATTAACAAGATGATGGACCTCTTTTGGAGCAATGTTCAGGTAGCTGCTCTGTGTTGGCAGTGAAGATGATAACGGTGGGTGGATGATATAAAGGAAGGTAAAGATCTCACCTTCCAGGATGACGATGATCTCCAGGTCCTCGGAGGCCAGTGACTGGGCGGACAGCTCGTAGAGAGGACTCCCTCGCTCCATGGTGTGGCTGATGATCAGGGGAGACACCAGGAAGATGCCGTTACTCCTGAGGGGGTTCTCCACCTGGATGTCCAGCTGGCACACGGGGATCACCTCGCCTTCTGACGTCACCGTCCGCCGGATCACCTGAAGAGAAGATTTCAGTTTTGTGTCTGTATCTTCAGGATTGGTTTGCATTACTGGGGCTGTTTTGTTTTGTATGCGTGATGTGGAGCTCAGGTGAAGTTGTAGGTCACCTGCAGCTGGACGGTGGCTGAGATGATCATGCTCTTCCTCAGATCTCCCACTCTGAACATGAAAGTGGGGCGGCCATTTCGAGGAGCGATGACGGCGTTTTTGGAGAAGATGAGTGTTTCTGCTCGCCGGTTGGCCTGCGCCGTCTTCATGAACACGCAGCCGAGCATCACGGCGTTGATGATCAGCCCCAAAATGTTCTGAATGATCAACACGGTGATGGCCAGCGGACACTCCTCCGTCACCATCCTGCCACCAAAACCGATGGTCACCTAGACGGGAAACATCCAGGATTACCACAAGACAGAAGTCTACACCCGCATCAGCAGGAAGCAACTCTCACCTGGACTTCAATGGAGAAGAGGAAGGCAGAGGTGAAGGAGTGGATGGCTGTGACGCAGGGGACTGGGCCCGGGTCGCCGTTGGGGTCGCGGGGCTCCAGGTCTCCGTGAGCGAAGGCGAGGAGCCACCAGATCATAGCGAAGAGCATCCAGGAGCAGAGGAAGGCAGAGGTGAAGATGAGGAGGGAGTGCTGCCACTTCAGGTCCACCATGGTGGTGAAAACGTCCTGCAGGAAGCGACCCTGAACCACACCACAAAACCTCCCGTCAGCAAACCGTCCTCTCTCTTTCCTCGTTCTACCCCCGGACCTTTTCTTCCCATCGCCCGTAACAACATTTAACTCATTCTGGATTCCGGCTTATCAAAGTAAAAGGATGTTTAACAGATAAAACACGCAGTGGAGCTCCCAGACGCTCCGCCCTCCATCCGCTGTAGCTTTTTATCTACATTCTGCCACAGAGCAGCAAACAGAAAAGTCCTGCACATCTGAAGCTTTCATTGCATGCTGAACCACATCATAACCAAACACTCGCTGCTCTACCTGTTCCCTGATGTTCTTGTGAGCCACGTTACAGGATCCGGTCTTGGTGATGAAGCGGGCTCTCTGAGACCTCGAACGGCTGCGGTTTGGCTGGTTCTGGTCCTCCGCCAGCCGGGTCAGCAGGAAGCCGTCCGGCAGGAGGCCCTTCCTGGCCAACATGATGCTGCGCACGTGAAAAATACATCTTAAACATAAATACAGCTGCGAAAGGTTCGTCATCAACACCAAGAAAACAGCAGATTTACAGCATATAATTCTTAAGTGAGGCAAAAATGATCAATTCATAAATACTGTAAAAGAAATTTGTCAATAATCTTCTGAACTTTGGACTTTTGGTGAGTAAGCCGTTTGAAGGAGATTCTCTACTTCCTGTTACTGATGAGATGCATCTCTGACATCCCAAAGACATTTAAATTAAACGTAAACAAAAAACACAACAGCAACATAATAATAAAATAAAAACTAAAAAGATAAAAATAGTAAAACAACTCAATTAAATAACAAAATAAAACAATAAAAACTGCAAACACGTGCGTGTACGTGAGCCATGTTAGATCTTTATTATAGAACTAGAGATGGCACGATACCACTTTTTTATGTCCGATACCGATATCATAAATTTGGATATCTGCCGATACCGATATGAATCCGATAT